TCATGCCAATTGTATGTGTGTGATAGTGGCGAGAGCAACTTTTAGGTTACTCAAAGACACTTGCTCTAGCCTCTCAGCCCTTCACACTGATTGGAAAACAGTGATAACTGAAACAGCCTTGGGCTCAGAGATGGAAGCTATGTAGGATAGAAATGCTGAACCTTGGATAGAAAAGCTCTGGACCTTGAATGACTTTGTGGAGCAAAGCAGCCACAAACCTACTGCCTATTTTTGGAGAGATTATGTGAGAGAGAAACAAACTTCTTATTGAAGCCACCGGATTTTGGGGTCTCCTTTATTAGAATAGCTTAGCTTGTCCCTAACTAGTACACTTCACTCCAACATGTTGTATAGCTAACTTTTGTGACTCCTTCCTCCTCTGAGATGATCATTGTTATTTATTAATGATTGATTCCATATTGATAGAATGTTATCCACAGGAGTATGACCCTAGAACCCCAAATCTCTGAGTGAGTCCTAAGTTTTATCAAACCTTCTTAGGAAATCAAGTCCTGCCCACAGATTAGCACAGGAATTTAAAGCAGTACTTTAATTCCCACATTGCCCGCTGCCGTACACCACCTCCACCACCCCCACCACCCAAATACCACATTTTTTGTGCTTCGATTGAAGTCATGTTTTGTTTCCTTGTTCTCAATGGATATAAAGACAATGTTAATTCCATGTTCCATAAAAAGTCTTCATAAATATCAAATCTTGCCTCAAGCATAATTCATACAATTAACTGATAATGGTATTAATAAACATATTTAGGTAGAAGACCTTTAGCCCAAAGTCATGCAAAAGATAACCACAGCTACTATTCTGGAATTTTATGTTTATAGGGCATTTCTATAGGGTAATGTCTACCAATGTAAATCTAATAATCAAAGTTGATATCAGTATTTAATTAGAAGATGCTACTCAATATTCTTAACATGTCTTCTAGCTGACTTGATCTCAGTATCTTCATTCAATGAGGCTTCAAATCATCTGTAATTTAATTCAAAAGGGAACTGCTAGTATCGAGGCCAAGCTGTACATCTCACCTTCTCAATAATAAAGAAAACTAGAAAGACACTCAACGTGTCACTTAACTCTGCTGGTTAACTCACTTAACCAGCAGAGGTCTCTAGGCCCTTGAATAAATGTTCCTTTCTTCTTTTTTTCATCTATAAGCAATTTCATGTTTTTCAAGGAACAAAACACAATTTTACACATCCTCTGCTGATGGGGATGAGGCACTGCTGCATATGAAGGGAGGCCAAAAGGGTCAACTTCAAAAAAAAGTTATAACATCAACAAGCATTAACTTGAATGAAGGGTTATAACCCACATCCTTGAAAGAGCTGCAAGTTTTCCTTATTCTATATCTCCCTGCTGCTAATGCAAAGGAAGCTAAAAAGGTTCTCTGCTTGGAGAATGCCACATGTAACCCTGATAGGGCTAATGGCAGTTGTGTGCCTGATTGCACATTCAACTTGCTGAATATTTACCCCCTATAGAGTCCACGAAAACAAAGCAAACAAGAAAAGCCACAGAAATCTGTGTGGAATATTAATAACGGAGCCAAACTTTCAAAAGAGAGAGAGGAAAAAAAAAC